GTGTGTATATCTAAAAATTTATATAAATTTTATATATATATATATATCTAAAAATATTTGTGGTATACGCAACACACACACACACATATCGTATCGTAAAGACCGTAACAACGCTTAAGAGTAGATTCCAGAGATCCTTTTGAGACGAAAATTCTAATCTCAAAATATCAAGGTTACAACGCTTTTTGAATTATAAACAGAGTTAGCAAATTGTCTAAAGTAAAACGCGCTCAGGTATAATACACAATACAAAAGGTGAAAGCTGACTGTCGTCCCAAAATTCATATAAAGATTACAATGTAAAGATGATGTAAAGTGATATTATTTTTACTGATATTTGCATAAATAAACTATTTCAGCAGATTATATTTTACTGAAAAAAGAGAAAATATTACATAATACATAAAGCGCAAGTTGTCAAATGACATTATTTTCAGAAATTTGCTAGTTTTATATCTCACAAATATTGCATACAAATAAATAAGACACAATTTGCACTTGTGAATAAATGAAACAAATAATTTGTTGTTATTATTTAAATTGTTTTATAAATTATTTATAAATTGTTTTATAAATTATTTATAAATTGTTTTATTTATAAATATTATTATTATTATAAATTATTATTTATATTATTATTATTTATAAATTGTTATAAATTTATAAATATTTATAAATTGTTATTATTTATAAATTGTTTTAAAAAAGTTTGTTGTTATTATTCTAAAATAGTATTTTGATCGATTTCTATGACAATAATCTTATTTATTCTAAAAAATATTTATAAAATATGAAACTAGCAGATTTCTGAAAGAAATGCCCTTTGATATTTTGCGCTTTATGTATTATGTAATAATATTTTTTCTTCTTTTCAGTAAGCTATAATCTGCTGAGGCAGTATTTTTACTGATATTGAATCTGAATATCAGTATCATTTACTGATATTTTACTGAATATCAGTAAAAATAACTCACTATCTTTGCATTATAACTTTTATATTAATTTTAATAAGATAGGTGATAGTCAGCTTTCATCTTTCGTATTGTGTATTATATTATACCTGAACATGCGAATTTTAGATAATTTGCTAACTCTAAATGTTTATAATTTAAAAAGCATTATTTGCCTCGACATTTTAAGTTTGGGATTTTCGTCTCAAAATAATTTCAGGAATCTAGCGTTGCTAAAGTCTTTATGGGACACTTTACACATGCGTGCGTGCGCGTGTGTATTCAAAGGATTTAATAATAAAAATATTATAAAAAGACATAGTCAATACATAAAGTAACAAATTAGCTATTGTTTTATAATGCAACATTTAATATGCTTATTTATAGTATGTTTTTTTATATTATATTTTTGTATATTATATATTTCAGAATAAAAAAAAATCAGAAATGCATATAACGATATGGTTCATTCTTATTACACTGCACAATGGCATCAATGGCTTTGGGTACAGTAAGAGAGGTATGACAACTTTTAATCTTAATTTATTTTTCGCAAATTCTCATAAAAACTAAGACATTAAAATAATAATCGATTTTATAATACAAATAGTAATTCTAAGAAATAAGAAAAAATTTTGACATTAATGTTTTTTCCTAGAACAACATTTGTGGCCACGAAAGTATGAATCATGCGCAGGAAAACTACAATCACCAGTGGCTATATCCACATCAAAAGCAATCGTTTTGCCATTTCCGGCACTCGAAATGATTGGTTACCACAATTTTCTTCCAATGCCACAAATATTAACGAATAATGGACAAACAGGTAAATATTGATTCAGGACAGACAGGTAAATATTGACTCAACTTTGCAAAAATGTTACATTTCTAATAGTGCATCTTTTTTCAGTTAAGCTTAGTATAGACAAAAACGCGATATACAAGAGATTGCCATATATATTTGGAGCCATATTAAAACAAGAACAACAATATGAAATAGAACATTTACATTTCCATTGGGGCATAAAAAATAATAAGGGTGCCGAACACGTATTGAATGGTATAAGGTAACAACTATATTTATATACTTTTGTTTGAAAATAAATTATTCAATTATAATTAAGTTATAGAGATTAAAGGTTAATATTCCTAGATATCCAATGGAAATACATATTGTGCATCGCAATATGGCATATTCCAATATTTCACATGCACTGCAGCATGAAGATGGCATAGTTGTAGTGGCTGCATTCTTTCAGGTATAGTTATGTAGTGGCTGCATTCTTTCAATTATTT